GGGAGTGGAGTCTAGGGGTTACTGCAGGGCTTCTTTACCCAGCTACACACACTTCTGTCTGGCTCCTACCAGTGGTGTGAGAATGACGGGGTGTTAATTGCTTCACTATTTTAAAATGAAAGATGCTCTAGAAACACCAATTATTTCATTGCTGAGGAAAAAGAGCAGTGAGTTTCCCAGGGGGGAGCTACCCAAAGTAACCGTGTCATACAGTGTGCGGCGGTTGTGGGGCTCCGCTGATGGGTGGATTCAGCACGGCTCAGCTGTGTGTCATAGACTCTATGCTGCTGGTAGCTAAGGGGGAGTCTCCTTGAGCTGAAGGGGCATGGCCCTGGGCTTTTGAAGCCAGGGGCGATAAGGCCCGTTTCTGGCACCCCAGGAGCAGCAGGAGAAGGGGGCCGGGTGGGACCCGCTAGGCTGAGCCCGGTGCTGGGAGGGCCGCAGGAGGCGGGGGCGGGTCAGGGGCTCCTGCCTGCAGCCGGGGAGCCACGTGTCCCCGGCACAGCGCGCACCGCAGAGCTGCAGCGTGGAGGGCGGCCCGGCTGCAGCGCCGCAAACCCAGCCCCGCCTCGGAGCGGTCCTAGCCCGCAGCCGGGCCCTGGCCGAGCCCCTGCCGGGCCGGTTTGCCCCCCGCCCCCCGGTGCTGCGGGATGCCCGGCAGGCGGCTCCCCGGCTAGTCTGGCGTAGCGCCCCCGGCCCTGCCCAACGCCTCTCCGGCTGCAGCGCCCCCCCGCTCCCCGCAGCATCCTCATCCGGCCCCTGGCAGCGCGCCCGCCTCGCCCCCGCCTGCCCTGCCCGGCTGCGCGGAGCCCCGGCCGGATGCTGCAGCTGCGGCGGGGACCAGACGGACTGTGGCTCGAGCCTTGTCCCCCTGCCCCTTGCGCCGGGACCGGGCGCTCCGGCGGCAGCTCGCCCCGACCCTGCCCCGCCGCTGGCGGCTGCGGGGGGTCCCCGAGGGGCCCCGGCACAGAGGATGGCGGCGGACGGGAGCAGCGCCCGGCTCTGCCGGAGCGGGCCGGCGGCGGCTCTGCTGGGTAAGGGGGCGTGCGGGGACGGGGCGCCCTGGTGCGCGGAGCCGGGGCGCTCTGCCTCGGGGCTGGGCTGGGAGCGCTTCGCCCAGGCATCCGCTTTGCTGCCCCCGGGATCAGCGAGACACCTCGGGCCGGAGGGTTCCGCTTTTCGGGGCTCCCCCCAAGGCCCAGAGCGCCCCAGGCTGCGGCTTGAGGATGGGGACTCGCCCCCAGCCGGCTCCGGGAGCCCCCCGCATGGGTAACAAGGGCTGCTCTGCCCTAGGGGAGACATGCGGAGCAGAAACCGCTGCTGCAGTGCCCTGGGGCCAGGCAGGGCTTAGCTCCCGGGGCCTCTCCTAGCCGGTAACCACGGCGGGACGGTCCGTTTATTAAGTGCTAGCCATATCCTGCTGCTAATCGCTCGAGTTTCTTCATTGCTGTCAGCTGGAGCCTCAGACAGCACAAGGCCAAATTCTGCTCTCCTGGGTCAGAGGAGACTGCCAGAGTCCAGGGAAGGCAGCGCGGTGACTGTGGACTTGCACCATGTCAGTGAGGGTGCTCTGTGTTGAGGGGAAGGAACTTGCTGTTGGTAACTAGCCCAAGGGAGTTGTGTCTGGAGGCTGGCGCGCAGGCTGGTTGTCAGGGCTTGGAGATGGGCACCGGTTTGGAGTAATGGTTCACAGCACGGCCAATGCCAAGGGCTCAAAAATCAGGAGTCGGGCCCCAAATCAGGAGACTTTTACAAACTACTAAATGTTGGGCTCTTTCTTTGATGGCTGGTTTCTCAGCCTTTAGGGAGCTCTCAGACCATGTGTTCAGGCTTTTCTCTGCAGTCAGGAGGGCTGGAACTTACTTTTGTTCTAAAGGAAACCTGAGAGTCTCATGTAATCACACGACTCCAGGAGCAGGTGCTTTAGGATGAACATCAAATGTAACAAGGCTCCCAAATAAATAGAGAGAGTCAATTAATTCTGGTTTCAGAGTAGCAGCCGTGTTAGTCTGTATCCGCAAAAAGAACAGGCGTACTTGTGGCACCTAATACATTTGTTAGTCTCTAAGGTGCCACAAGTACTCCTGTTCTTTTTAATTAATTCTGGACAGTTTGCACTATCCCACCCACTGTTGTAATGATATGGTCCTGTATGACAGTGTGTATCTTTCTACACACGAGACCCCTCTGAGCCTCTGTTCCTATGTTACTGTAATTTAGTAGCTTTAACCATTTCTATAAGTCCTATAAACACTGAAGTTATTGTTCCTTCCTCCTCGAAAAATATTTACATTTTAAAAGTAAACTCTATGTTTCCATGAGGAAAGATCAACCCACAGAAAATAGCTTGCTTTGATTTCCGCTGCTCTGCAGCGAGTCGTGGGTACTCGGCACTTGCACTTTCATCCATAGTCTCCAAGTGCTTCACTCAGGGCTGGGCAGGATGATCTCCATTTTGCAGATGTGCAATCTGAGGCATTGAGGATAAGTGACTTGCCAAGGTCGCTCCAGGAATAGAGCCCTGGCTCTCAGGCCTTTGCCCTACCTGCGTCAATTACTAATATACATGCAGTGGTGTCTCCTTTGGCGTTTTCTCTCCTAGGCTCCATCATTCTCGCTTTGCTGATCTGCTAGCGGGGGGTACAGCTAGCTAACTGCTAAAATTAAATGGGGAAAATGTGTGTCAGGGACCAGAGGAAACAATTGTAAGTGTTTTAATGCAGCTGAGAATAATAATAGTTATGGATTTAAAAATATTTGTCATACCTTCCTTCCCAGCAGAGGAAAGAAATGCATATCTGGGGCCCTGCTTGGAGCATAACACCCAAATCTGAGCCTGGGGGAGGTTCTGTAAAGTGCCCTGGCTACATCCAGGGGCTAGGAGCCAAGACATGCAGTGGCAGCTTTTTCCGGTGCTGTTTGATCTGTCCCAGCAGGCCCCACATAGGGCTGGTTCAGAGCTTCCTGTACCCGCCGAGGGCGTCGTTATCTGCTGGGCAGTTGTCCTAGTCTGTGTAGGGGGTTGTTCTTTGAACAGAGACTCTGAAAACAAGAATTTAATTGAATTTTCAGTACTTAAAACCCACTGCCTGTTGGAAAACTCCAGTGAGGGGCTTCTGGTAGGGCAAGGAGCTGTTGGTTCTCAAGATAATTTTAAGTGAGCTGGAGAAATTAGAGAGAGAGGGACTGGGATTTCAAAGGAGTTTGGATTCCAGTGAAATTTAGGTGCCTAATTCCCTTAGGTGTCTTTGAAAATCCAAGCCCAGATAACCCAAGGGCAGCCTCATTTTAAGAAGGAAAAACTGGCCATGTGTTGTCATAGGTAGAACAGAGGCTCAGACGTTTTAAGCTGGAGTCATCTTGAGTTCTAAGACCAGGTGCTGGTTCTTCTGATCTCCGGAAGGAAATCGGACCCCTTTGTACCTCGGCCAACTCAGCCAGGCTTAAACAAAAAAGGTTGGGGGAGGAATCTCAGTGCAAATTGTCTGCAGCTGAGTATTTTAATTCTGCTTTTCAGTGACTGAGGCTGTGAGGCTCATTGCACGGTCTGGTTAGCCAGAGCCACCACCAAGCAGGACTCTGGGGCAGAGAGGGAGTGGTACCTCGATATTACAACAAGGAAAGTGCTAACAGCTCTGCTCTCCTTCAGGGACCCTCACAGGCTGTCCAACTCCTGTACCTCAAAGGGGTGGTTGTGGCCATACCCCCAGCACGCCGAGGTGCTTAGGAAAAGGGCTGAAGCGTAAAGGTTCTTTCAAGATGGCAAAGCTGGATTCTGCTCCAAGCGGACTGTGAGCTCTTCCCTCCTTGGTGCTGTGTGGGAGGGGGTGGGGAGGAGGAGCCCACCTAGCCGGGGGAAGAGGTTCTGTCCCCAGGGAGCTGTCTGCGGGACCGGGACGAGTTGATGGTTGTTAGTGATGTAAGTGCTCTTTTGCAGCCCTTTTGTAGAACAACAGAGGCCTCCAGTGGCCATTGAGGTGAATCCCAGCCGCCCGGGTCACGTTTCTGCCTCACGTTGGGACGCTGGCTGCTCCAGTGGATTCCAGGTGCTGTCCTGACCTGCCCCATGGCGGGTTGGGTTGTTTCAGGTGCAGTGTGCTCTGGCAAGCCCAGCGCAAGGAGGACGGGGTTACGTGAGGGTTGTTTTCAGTGATTAGAGCAGGCCAGGGAATGAGGAGTTCGAGCTCCTGCCTGGGTTCCAGTCCCAGTTCTGCCACTGACTCTGTGGGACCCCCGTGGGAACTCAGCCAAGCTGCAGGGTGCTGGGAGATTTAATGTTGGCAAAGGGCTTTGGGAGTTTTGGTTGACGGGGCTGTAGCTGGGCATTGTTGTTCCGTGGGAACGTGCCAGCTCTTCCCTCCCCAGGCCAGTCCAATGACCGGTAGTTCCCTGTGGAGAAGAAATGGTACAATGCTGCAAAAACCTCGCCGCTCCTGGCTTAGTGTTTCCTGCTGCCCTGCTCTGGGGGGGTGTCTCACTCATGCTGGGGTGGGCAGAGGATTTAAAATGCTGCCAGCGGCCAGAGCGAGCGGAGAATTCAGCTTCGTTAATGTTTTAAGCCCGCTCCACAGCGGTGGGAATAAGCGCTGTCCCCCAGTGCAGAGCAGTGGGATTGGGCCCTGCTGCCCAACGCTGCTGATGTCTCAAGCAGCCACCCTTGATCTCGGCAACACGGGGCAACTCACGTTTCTTGATCTCAGAGCAGCAAAGAGAAGTCTCCGAAAGCTGCTGCATTAGCAACGGAGGCGGGGCAGAAAGGACACGCGTCTACACAGGCCTCCTCTGTTTCGGTGCCTTTGATTGGTTGCTGCCAGGGGACTCGGCAAAGAGCAGGGTGGTATAGCTCAGCATGTGTCACAATGTAGGAATTTTTTACCTTGGTTTTAAAACGTGTTTTGTGTTTGCTTTGCTCGGAGGGCTCGGGCTCAAGGACATTTTTGGAAGAAGCCAGTGACAGCTACAGCAAACATTCACTAATTTCTGTAGATAGCTTGCGCCTGTCTGGACGGAGTTCTTACAGACCTTGCGAAGCAGCCCTGCTCTGCCCTTTCCCTCAGGAACGGGAGGCCCAGCTGCACTGAGTGAGGATGTGGGGCTGAGGGGGGTGGCTCCTCTGGAGGGAGCGTCTCTGCTCAGGCACCCCACCCCACCCCCCTGCCTCCTTGGGGGGGTGCCGGCAGCACTGGACAATACTGCGCTGAGGGGGAGGAGTTGACTGATGACCCCAGGGGAGCCTGTCCCTCCTGGAGCCTGATGAGCCAGCAATCCCGTTCCCCAGCAGCGATGGGTGGCTGGGGGGGTTGGTGAGAAGGGGCAGATTTAACCAGACAGACCCTCTCTCCCCCAGGACGGTCACAGGGAAATCCTGCCCCGGAGAGTCGAACTCCTCGTAAATATTCTCCGGTGCTGCCACTCTCCTTAGGCTGCTCTGGGCCTGGTTGGCTCAGACCCATCCAGGGAGCACCTAACCCCTGGGCTGCTCTCCGGTGTTAAACATGAGAACAGGTTCACCCCGGTGTCATTTATCAAAGGTCCCATAATCCCTCTGTCCGGCTCGAGGGTGGGGTTGGCCTCATGACTAATGTCTCCTTTCTCACCCTCCAGAACAGCTCCCCCTTGCGGCCCTGCCCTGGTCTGGGCCATGGCTCAGTTGCCAGGACCCATCCAGCCTGGATTATGGGGGTGGTGCTTGGCTTGTAGACACCTGAGCAGGACTGAGAGCTCCAGAGTGTGGTCGCCAGGGGCCTGGGGTGAAAGGCCAGAGCTGGGAGACGCTCCCTTCCCTGCTGCTGCTGGCCAGGCTACTCGCAGTTGCCTTTTCCCAGGGCGTGTTCCTGAAGCTCTGTCCTGCTCTGTGTCCTCTAGGAAGGCAGCGCGGGGACTGGCTAGGTTAGTCTGAGGCATGTGGTGCCTCCAGGGAGCCCAATTAATGGACCAGCAATCTCATCTTGTTACCAGGTGACTGCATGATGGTAGCCTCTGGGCATGCCCCAGGAGATGCCATCTCTGAATGAGAATCTGGTATCGGGTGCCTGTGGAAACTGATGTGTCTTTGTTCTCTCTTTCCCCGGGCAGGTTTACAGCTCTTCTCCATGGCTGTCACCTTGGAGGTCTCAGTGGGGAAAAACCACCTTGTGATGGCTCTGAACGGCTCAGAAGTGCAGCTGCCCTGCATCTTCACCACTTGCATAGGATTCAAGAACCTTGACTTCACTTGGTATTACAACAGCACTGACATGGTGCGTGGCGTGCTCTGCTCCTCGCTGGGTTTGATTGCCAGTTCTCCTGGGTCCCCCCAGCACAGACCGGCTGCTAGTGCTTCAAACAGTGATTTGGATCCTGTTTCTCCTGCTTTAGGACACCCTGCTGGCCACGAGGGATCTGGTTTGGCAATTGCCCTCTCAGAGCCCACTGCACCCTATTGGCTGGGCACCATAACTGCCCGCAGGAGACACCGCTGGGTGGAGCAGTGTGGAACGGAGAAAATTTCTTCCACTCGGTTTGGCCGCAGCAAAGTCACCATTTCATTTCCTGTAGGCATGTCTGTGAGCTTCGGCAGCAGCGACTGGCAAATCCCCGGGTTAAATCAATCCCTTTTGCTCAGAAATGTCCCATTTCACTCAGGAGCAGGTCAGCACTTTGAGCAAAACGCAGTGAATTTTCCAGCTAAACAGGCCCCTTCTCGTGCTCGCCGTGAGATGCCAAAGGGCCGTTGGTTCTGGGGCCCAACAGGCACTAAACAAAGTTGTCATTTCATACAAATGTGGCTTAATAAGGAGAAGAGCCCTCCAGCATTTGGCCAGATGCAGGCGGGGGGGGGGGGGGGGGGTTGGCCGCGTGCTGAAGAGTCAGGAAGGGGCACCATGTATGGAGTATGGTTCTGCTCTGCCTCCATTAAAAGCCCCCCCTCCACTCTGCTCAGCCCCTGGAGTTTCCCTGTTGATGACTGTTCATTTCACTGGTGCATACCTAGCATGCAGGAGACATCTCGGGGGTGGGGAAGGGATGTGCTGAGAGGAATAACTGGCTTTGGGAGCCCTGGGCAAAAGCCAAGCATTTAGATTCATTCTACCCCTAGTCCGGAGGAGACAAAATCCTCAGAAAGCCAGGGAGGGATGGAAAGAGAATTATTGTCCCCTTGTAATCCACATTTACACCACAGCTGTCGCTGACCCATGGCACTGTTACAGCGTGCTTGTCCCTGACCTGGATGCAACATGGTTACAAACTGTCATGTAGCCGGGCCCCAACCCTCAGCCTTGGTAGCTCTGTGTCTGTCTGACTCAGCCGGCAGAGCTCTCAAGGCCTTCCCTTGTCTGGGGCTTGCTGAGTTTGCGGCCTGGCTGTGCTGTTTGCTTGCTCAGTGTCCTGCTGCATTCCCTCCCCCTGCAGATATATCACGGGACTATACAGAACAAAGCATCCGAGCCGACGATGCTATACGCAGACTCTCGGGTTCGGTTCATTGGCACAACCACTGGGAAGGAAAACAACATCTCCATCTCCATGTTTGTGGACTTCGATGATGCTGGGAAGTACACCTGCCATGTCAGGAACCCAAAGGAAATGAATGCTGAGCACAATGCCACCATCATCCTCAAGGTGGTCCAGGAGCGTAAGTGTCTGCCAGGAGGAGCCTCCCACCCTCACTCTGCTGGTGCCGGTAGACAAAGGTTCCCCTGAGTGACCAGCAGGATCAGGCAAAGCTAAAACAAGATATCCTGCTAGTGGTCATAGCAGGGGACTGGGCCTCAGGACATGTGGGTTCTGTTGGGTTTCCATCAGTGTAAGGAAAGTAGAATCTGCTCCCAGGAGTTCTAGTGTGACCAGTGTATATTCTAGTTAGTCTTCAGCAAATGGCTGTCCACCTCAGAAAAGAGCCCCAGGAGAGGCACCTGTTTAGGAGAGGATCAAGGCTGGACTGGCCGAGGGGCATTGGCAGAATTGGGGGTCTTTCACTTCACATCCCTCCTCCTGCCAAGAAGTAAGGCCGACCTCAGAGTGGGCTCTGGGTTTTAGCTCCCTTGATCTATTTTGGGTGCCTAACTTGAGACCCCTCACGCTGAGCACCCACAACCTGAGACACCTACAATCCCTCCAGGTGACGATGGCTAAGATAAAGATACGCGCCATCCCCTGTGGGCCCTGCTACAGGCCAGGAGCCAGGGGCACAAGGAGGGCATTCACGGGGTAAACTCCCTCCATGGCTTACGGTCAAGTTGACCCCTGAGCTGTGCAGTTGTTGGAGCAGGCTTGGGGCAGCAGAGACTAGAGGGTGACGCCCAGGGCTGTTCGACTTTAAAGACCTGAACTGTTCTGCGGTGCAGAGGCAGCTGAGTGGCCCCTGCAGCTCCAGTGGTGGCCGAGGGCTGAGTGTCTGTCTCCTGCTGCTCAGGGCCAGAGACACCGTGCTGGTGGGACTCTTCTGCAGTGGTACCCACTAACATCTCCTCTGGCGCTCTCTCCTGCAGTGGTACCAGTGGACAACACGCTGACGCGCATCATCGTGGGAACCGTGGGCGGGCTCGTCGGCCTCCTCATCCTCATCCTTGTCATCAAGAAAATCATCCTGCTCATCCTCAAAAAGTCTCAGGAGAAGAAGTGAGTACGGATGGGCTTCCTTTCTCCCAGCCCCCGCTGCGTCCGGCTGCGGGGTGCGGTGCATAACCCTTGGCTGGCGCTGTGCTGGGCGCAGCGTCATGCGTACCACATGCATGGATGTTTGTGCTCTTTCTGACCCTCCTCCCCAGCCTAGACACCGGAGTGGCATCACCTGGGTGTTCACAAGGAGAGGGCAGGAGGCAGCATGACCCAGCAAACTGGGCCCAGGACTGGAAACTGGGCTCTTCTGAATTCTGTTCCCAGCTCTGCCTCTAGCTGGCTTTTCACTTCCCCATTTCCCCAGCTGTAAAACTGGGACAGGGACACTGAGCTAACAGGATTGGTGCAGACATGCACAAAAGCCTGCTGCTGCCCTGTGTCTGGACAGTTCCCTGTGACCTGCCTCGCCCGGTCCTATTGTCAGTGCCCGAAGCACAGGGCTTCCCTTGGAGAGTGTGGCACAAACTTAGCTCTGTGTTGGGGTTGTAGTCCTGAGTCCTCTGCCCAGCATGGGGAAGGCACGGCTCTTTGAAAGTGTGAGCCAGGAACTCCTGGAGTCTGCTGCCCACTCTCTCTGTGCCCTGCAATGTGTCACTTGACCTGCCTGCCCCGTGGGAATGATCGTGCCTCTTGGGGAGCAGGGAGAATCCAGGCACTAGTGCCAGTCTAGTGTTTGGAGCCATGCCTGCACGTCTCTCCCTCCATGGCTGCAATGGGGGGTGAGCTTCCCCCCCAGCTCTGAGTGCATACACCCCTGGGGCCTGGCCTCCGACAGGTGGGGAGGGGCAGTGACGCCAGGCTGAGGGGGCCAGGTCCACGTTCAGGCTGAGGGGGGCTGCAGGCGCCAGCCACGTGATGTAGGTGCTGTTCTCTCTCCTAGGAAGGAGTGTCTCGTGAGCTCCTCAGGGATCGACAACACTGAGAATGGTCTGGCGGGCTCCAAGGCGGAACAGAAAGCTCCACCAAAGGCATGAAGCAAACTCAGTCTGACCCACGAGGCAGCAAAACTCTAATGGCGGCGGGAAGGGAAATCTATTTTATTTTGAAACTAACCATGCTCGAGACACCTCTGTATTACGCACAGGCCTGCAATTCGCGCGGCTCCTCAGCCCAGACTTGGAATGCCGTGTGGCCTGGGAGCAGGCTGTGATCCCAGCAGGGGAAAGGGAGCAGGCCAGCTCCATTCTCTCTGGGAGGAGGTGGGAACTCCCGGAGCTGGAGCTGGAGCTGGGGTGGGTGTGTGTTTTCACGTGGTGCGTGCGTGAGTGAGAGCGGCTGGTTCAGCACACACAGACTGGGCGTGAGGACGCTGAGCAGAAACGGTGCCTTGCGAAGCTGAGAGGGTGGCGGGGGGGGGGGGGGTCGCCTGCCTGGCTCCCAGGGGTGCTAACCGCTGGGAGGAGGCTGTGCATCAGGCAGAGCCCGCTGGAGCGCCAGGCTGCATGGAACACTAGCAGTAGAGAGAGATGCTCCTGTCCCGGCCTGAGCATGGGGCTGGCTCAAGGAGAAAGGGGGCTCTGCTGCCAAGCACACTTCTGAACCAAATGACTAGTGCCACCTTTACCAAGCCTGGCTTTAATCTCTTTTCCTAACTGGCTAAGGATAGCAGCAGGGGCCCCTGCTGCTGCTCCTGGGACGAGCTCTCCCTCCCCTGCCACTTCCATTCCGCCCCAGCAGGTGAGCTGCCCACTCGATCAGTCTGGGCTTGTGCAACTCCGTGATATTGTCACCAGCTGCCGTTGGTGCCAAGGATGGAATACACTGCGGCCAGGGGTCGCTGTAGTCACGGGGGGCTATGTCCGTTAGTTACATACAGCAGCCATTCACCTGCTACTGTGTGATTGCTATGGGCCTGGATCTCCACTGCCCTGCCCCTGGTGTCCTCACTTGCACTAGTGCAAGGGGAGTGCAGAGCACTGCCAGTCCGACTCCCTTTGCACATGGCAGCACAAGGTGCAGGGGTCCTGTTTCTGGCTGCCTGGCAAACCTGCCCTGTGAGCTCTGCGTGGAAAAGCTGGGTCAATAGTAAAGTGTTGGGGGGAGTCGGGGGGAGGATTCATTCCTCTGCCTGCACTTTGTCACTAGCACTCGCGTGGCTCGTGGTGAGGGCACTTGTTCTGCTCTGGGGTGTTCCCTGTCCTGCTGGCAGCAGTCCTGCTTGTGGGGGAAGGGCAGCTGGGACACTTGAGTGTAATTCTTGTTCTCTCCTTTCTGGAGGGTCCTTGTGACTCTGCCAGGACACCGCGGCGACGGGCGCACCTGGAAAGAGGCAGCTGGGGTGACAAGCTTCAGGTTTCTGACTGTCCTCCTGGGACAGAGGAAATATTGACAAAGTGGGTCCCAGCCCACAAGCTGAGGGCAGTGGCTGGTTATGTGTCCAGTGCTGGCTGTGCTTTTACCTTCAGAAATCTCGACTCCCCTGCTCCCTGAGCAGCATTCAGGGGAAAAGGAGTCCAGATCCCACATTGGGTCCTAGCCGGGCTCTGGAGCATGGCACTGCGATCCCCTCCAGGCTGCATTAGCAATGTTCCCAAATAGCCAGGCCCACATTCTTCCTTCTGTTACGTGTGCCCAGACCCAGTGACGCCCGTGAGCTGCACGGGAGCAGCCCCTTGGAGTCCCCTTGCTGTCCCAGATGGACAGGGTGGCGGTGAGGATATTGTCACCCTTCCTGGTCTGGTACAAACCCCCTGGCACGGCCACTCCCTCTAGAGCACTGGAGCTTTCTGTGGAACTACCAGGGCATCCTTTCTTCTTCCCTATGCTGATTGGCTACTGCGGCCCCATGCCCTCACTGGGTGTGCTGGTGCAGAATTGGTGCCATGCTTTGTGACATCCAGCCTGGGAGGTTTTGTCTCCCCCACGTGCTGGTGAGGTACCAAACATGTCCTCTCCCCAAGCGGTCTGACATTCCCTACCAAACACGCACCCCAGTCCCTTTGGGGCTCAGCCATCTCCCGGAGCTCTGCCCTGTGACCCTGGTCGCGTCTCCACCAAACACAGTCCTGTCTCATTCCAGGGAACACAGGGCTTTACCAAAGAGTTGCTGTGTTGCTTGGTGACACCCGCAGTGCTGGGAATGTTTTTGTTTTAGCAGCGAGCGCCTTATCAGCCTGGGTGCTGCCTGCCTGTCCCTGCAGTGCTGCATAACCAAGCAGCGCTGCAGGCTCTTTGCATTGTTCAGCCCCACCGGGGTGGGGAGCACCAGATTGTAAGGAACAGGTTTGCACACCCCTGCCATGTCAGGGTGCTTTGCGCCATAGGGCGCCGCATGAATGGAGCTGGGGATTGTAATAAGCACAGTATCTTCTGAAGGAGCCAATCCAGGCAGACTGGGGAATCCTTCGGGAATTTGTTTAATTAGCACCAGCCCCGCAGGGGATTTTTCTGCCAGCGGAAGTTGAGGGGGATGTGCGGGGAACAAGTGCACCTCATGGAACAGAACCAAGTGGGGCCAGGGCCACCCCGAGAGAAGCCAGTGCGGCCGCGGTGTCCTTGGAGAGGAGCTGGGCGCGTTGTTTGCCTGGGGGCTTTGGCTGCGAGAGGGCTGCCTATTAACGAGGAACTCCAGCGATGGGACTGGAGAGCCCGGGAGGCCAGTGCTAGGTGAGGACAGCCCTGAGCGATGCAAGAAGCCCACTGAAGTCAGAGTCTTTCTCTTGACGTCGTTGGGCTTCGTGTCAGTGCCTCAGTGGCCGTGATCATGAGAGTTAGTGCTGCAGAAAGTGAAATCGTCCAAGCGTGGGGAGAGTGGCCCGAGGCTGGCTGGGGACGAGGCCGTGGCTCCAGACTGATGTGCTGGCGTGTGCAAACCCGGGCCGCGAGACAATTGCTGTCGGGCACCAGGCCTGATTCTCCTGCCCTACGCCTGCCTGATGCCCAGGAAGTGAGTGATGGGGCGTGAAAGGCCAGAGAACTGGCACCCGTGACTGCTGGTGAATGGGCCTGCCTCCCTTCTCGTGTACACCTGCCTGCCCCACCAGGCGCTTCCTTCAGGGGAGATTGGGAAATGGGTGGGCGCGGTTCACACCGAACGCTACATTTCCTTTGTGTTGCAGACCGCTCAGCTGTGCCGTCTCATTTATGTGGGTGTAAATCAGGAGTAACGCCACGGAGTCAGTGGAGTAAGCCCAGTGTAAACCTGGTGTACGCGGGAGAAGAACTGGGCCCAAAGTTCTGTCCCCCTGCTCCCCTTGCCCCAGTTGTGAGGGGCTGCTCAGGCAGCAGGGACAGAGGCCGGGGAGAGGGGCTGCTGGAACGCAGCTTCAGACAGCAAAGCGAGTGGGGAAGGCGGCAGCTTGGGGAGTGGGAGCAGATGATGGAGCTATATTTCTAGGCTGCATGTTTAAACCCGGTGAGCCGTGGTGGTTGTCAGTGGCGCCTTTGAGCCGTGAGTTTTAGCCCGTCCCTGACGGACAGAGGTCCGCATCCCAGTCCGCACCAACTGCTCGAGTCTGTAGAGAGAACCAGGCCGTGAAGTTCCCAGCTCCGCCTTAGGGGCAGGGTGGAGGCACGTCACCAAGGCTAAGTTCACATGCAGGATTTCTGAGGGCTCTCAGCCAGGAACCATCGCCTGGGGCAGGGTGGGGTTGCCTGTTTTTATGCTGTGGAAGTGCCGCATGGCTCCTTGTATTCTGCTCTGTGGACATGCTTAGGCATCTTCCCAGGCCGTGCCCCAGAGCCAGGAAAAGCTGAGGTTGTCAAAGTTGCTGCATCTGCCCAATGGCAGAAGAAACCACCGAGAAATGCATCTGAACAAAGGTGTTGTGTAGGCCTGTGAGCAGGGCCCGTGCTCTGTGCTGCCTGTCTGCGCTCATGCCAGGCGGAGCAGCCTGGATACATACTTTGACTGCACTGGCTCACCCTGTCCTGTGTCCTGCTGTGGCCGATGTACATTCAGTTGCTCTCACCACTGCGTGGCATGTACCTGGCCGGTTTTCTAGGGAGAAGTTGCCGTATTTTTTCCATCCGTTCCGGTTTTACTGTTTGTTTGTTTTTTATTTAAAGCTCGGCGCTTACAGTAACAGACATGGAAGAAGCTGACCTACCCAAAGCTTTAATTAGTTACTCAAATCATTTGTATAATGGATTTAAATGGGAAAAACGGCTCATTTGGTTTCCCTTTCACTTAAGAAAGAATGTGGAGCTCCATTCGCTATGCAGGGAGGGAGTGTGGTCTAGTCATGGTTAGAGGACTTGGATTCAGGACTCAGGTTCTGTTCCTGGCTCTGCTGCTGACTCACTGTGACACCTCAGGCAAGTCGCTTTGCTTCTCTGTGCCTCAGTTTCCCCATCTGTAAAATGGGGATAATAATACTGACCTACCTCACAGGTGAGTAACCATTTGTAAAGTGCTTTGAAATCCTTGGATGACAAGTGCTATAGACAGGCACAGTGTCATTAGGACAGAGCTACTTGGAAGGTTAGAAACTGATCAGGTGAAACATACATGTATTTCACCCTCAATGTGGAAATCAGATTTCTCTCTGGACACTTACAGCTGGCCCCTCAGCTGGCGAGAACTGAGAGACCTTTTCAGTTCTCTTCGGTTCGGTTCTGTTTGCTTGGTGACTTTGTCCACACTCTATAGAGTCAGCCTGGCTGATTCGTTGCTGATCGATGGCGCTTCCTGTCTTGTGCTCTAGCCTGATGACAGGAAGCTCCCTGCACACTGTCCCCCAGGCCTGCAAAGAGGCTCGTCTCCGTAACAGCAGCAACAATATTGAAACCGAAGAGAGAGCAGGCAGTGTTCAGGGAGAGGTGCCAGAGACATGACGGAGTCTGCTAGGGACGTTGCTATTGAAGGGGCTTGGGTACTGCAGTGATGGGTGGCCATATGAACCCTGAGACAGAAACAGGACGGGGAGCAGAGACAGGCCTGAGATAGTTGGAGTTGTTCTCTGACTTAAAACCCTTGAGTACATGGGGAGCTGGAAAATCCTTCTCCATATAAATGAAAGGGATTAAAAACAACCCCAGACATGCTATTCCAAGGTGCTATAGCTGAAAATGGAAATTTAAAAAATTCTCCATTTAAAATAATTCTAGTTGACTGTGACCCTTTAAAATCATGTGATTTGTTGTTTGAATGTCACAAACGAACTTCGTTACTTGTGTGGGCTGTATCTTTGCCTGTGTTAATGAGGCTAAGGAACTAAACTCTGCTGTTCTCTCCGGCCCCTTCCCCTGTAGGAATCAGGAATCAGAGCTGGGTCTTGGCTTTTCAGGAGCGGGGTGGGGGTGGGAGCAAGAACAGCTTTCCGGCTCTGTAACGGAATGGGAGCCCGTTCTGGG